CAAATCTCTGTGTATATCTACGCAGTCATCCATATAATTTTACCTACTTAAATATTACACACAACTCATTTATTATGGACATCTTTCCTTCATTCTCTTTTAAGAAAAAGGAACAACAAAAAATTAAAATGACACTCCATCCCAAAGCAGTAAAATACATATTCTTTTCAAGAGTACATGGAACGTGCTCCAGGACAGATCACATGCTGGGCCACAAAACAATTCTCAATATATTTAAGAAGACTGAAATCATACCAAGCATCTTTTCTGATCAGTATAAGACTAGAAATCAACTACAAGAAAAAAAGTGCAAAACCACAAACATGTGGAGGCTAAACAATATGCAACTAAACAACCAATGGATCACTGAAGAAGTCAAAGAGGAAATCAAAAAACACCTGTAGACAAATGAAAATGGAAACACAATGATCCAAAATCTATGGGACGCAGCAAAAGCAGTTCTAAGAGGGATGTTTATAGCAATACAAGCCTATCCTGGGAAATAAGAACAATCTCAAATAAATAACGTAACTCTGCACCTAAAGGAACTCAAAAAAGGAGAACAAACAAAACCAAAGTTAGTAGAAGGAAAGAAATCCTAAAGATTAGAGCGGAAATAAAAGAAATAGAGACTAAAAAAAAAAAAAATAGAAAAGATTAATGAAACTAAGAGCTGGTTCTTTGAAAATATCAACAAAACTGATAAACCTTTAGCCAGACTAATCAAGAAAAAAGAGAGAGGGCTCAAATAAATAAATCAGAAATGAAAGAGGAGTTACAAGTGACATTACAGAAATACAAACAATAAGAGATTACTACAAATATGCACCAATAAAATGAACAACCTAGAAGAAATAAATTCCTAGAAACATACCATCTCCCATGACTGAATCAGTAAGAAATAAAGAATATGAACAGACCAATTACCAGTAATGAAATGAAATCAGTAATAAAAAAAAACCTCCCAACAAACAAAAGTCCAGGACCAGATGGCTTCACAGGTGAATTCTACCAAATACTGAGAGAAGACTTAACACTTATCCTTCTCAAAGTATACCAAAAAATTGAAGAGGAAGAAACACTTCCAAAATCATTCTATGAGATGAGTGTTACCCTGATACCAAAACCAAAGACACCACAAAAATTTAAAATGACATCTGCCCAAGGTAAGAAAATAGAACAAACCATACAAAATGGTCTCAAATGACAAAACTTTCCCT